GAGCGTGTAGCATAATCTGAGCATTGGACCACAAAGTAATCATAAACTCTAGAAGTCTGCCACAGGACTGCATGAGGCTTTGGGGGGACAGCCAGACACAAACCATCACAGTGAGTCAGCTGGAAGCCCCCATAATCCAGTCACCTTCCAAAGGTCCCACCTATGAGTGCAGGAGGCTGTAGGGGGACATCTAGATTGAAACCATAACAGTTACATTGCAGGTGGGAGAACCACTTCCAGAATCATGAGTCCTTGCCATGCTTGACATGTGCTTGATACAGTTACATCTCAGAACTTGCAAGAGCTCTGATGCGGACTGTGGGGATTTCACCAAGACAGGGGCACTAGGTGGTGTCTCCTGACATTCCCAGCCAGGTGTCTCCCAACTCTTGCCACTTGCCCCAGCCCTCTAATCGGAGCCATAATGCTCTGATCATTAGGAGCCTGGCACAGCGTTTGTGAGGCAAAAACAAGGCTTCCAGCTTCAGTTGTCCCTTATAAAGACATAACAGGAGCTTTTTGCATTTTGCAAAACTATGCAATCAGCTGAAGATGGCTAACCCAATTATGGCAACTTTTTCATTTAGGACATTAAGGTAGACATTTAAAACTGTATCTTTGGGCATCTCCAACATTAACAAATTATTAGACACTAATTGCTCTGGGTCTGAGCCACTTCTATAAACAGGCAAGGTTTTCCATTTGCAGAAATCAAAGCATACCAGAGCAATTTGTGTTGCTTAATAGCTACAAATTTGTTAGCTTGACTCCAAACCAACAAAACCTGGGAAGCTATTATGTAAATATAGATAATGTCTCTCCAATGATGGTAATTAATGCAGAGATCTCCAGAAAGGCATTTGCTATGATTAGATCTGTTATAGGGAGCAGTTCAGTCTGGGGGGGTTGAACATTTTTCTGGTCCCTCAGAGGTTCTTTCTGAGCAAGGGCTTTCTGAATAAGCCCTTCACTTTCCTGAGAGGGAAGAAGACACAGAGGATAAGGCCCCAAACATAACCACCTCCAGAGTGGCCACAGTAGCTAGTTGTCACCTTTCCTCCTGCTCAGGGTCACAAAGGGATGGTTCTGATTCTAGGTGGAACGCTGGATGTTGAAACTTCTCATTGTATTAAAATCGGGGTCATTAAGAGTTATATAGAGGCTGGGGGGTTGCTAGGTGGTTACCTCAGCTTTCTTGTTGCTGGGACCAAGAACTGAAACCCACAATTTAAAAGAGGAAAGGTTTAATTCGGCTCACAGTTTGGGGGGGTTCAGTCCATGGTTGGCTGGTTCCAAGGCAGAACCACCATGGCAGATGGGCATGGGGGAGCAAAACTGCTTAGTCCATGGTGGCCAGGAATCAGAGCAGGGGAACAGTTCCAGAGAGGAAGCGGCGACGGACCAGACCGAGACCTCCAAGGTCCCTCCTCCATGGCTCACCCAGATATGTCCATGTGTATGCGTTAGTAGTTGATTCCCTAAGCAGGTCCCAGGCCAGTCGAATTCACACCGTTAAGCTTAACCAACACAGAGGCAGAGAACATGGGCCCTGGGTTCCACCCTTAGCATGGAGAGGTAAGGGAGCTTACGGTTAGGGCTGGGCACCGAGGTTCTATTGGCCATTTCAGAAAGGGCTTCCTGATCAGCCAATCAAACCCTTGAGTTTTACAGAAGCAGGAATTGAGACTTAAAGAAAGGAAATCACTCATCAAACTAAAGAAGCTATGGACGGGGGCCCAGGAGCCCCAATTGCTGCCCCTTATGTGGACTGGTCCTCATAGTCATCCAACCCCAAGTCAATAACAAACCTGTTTATAGAGTGTGTTGGGCTTTGGTTACTGTACAAGGTGTCCAAAGGACACAGTGATGGGATTAACTGAGTCTTTAAGGAGCTTTCCATCCAATATCGGGAATCAGATATGAAGATAAGTTAGCAAAACACAGGCCAGTGTTGGAAAAAAGAGTGATCTTTCTAATTAGTATATCTTGTCCCACTTGCCACAGGGCCTTTACACACCCTGTTTCCTCTGCCTGGCTCACTCTGCCTTTCCCCCTGGATCTAGCTGATGCTCACTCAGCCTCCCCTGCTGCAGCACCACTTCCTCAAGGAAGCCTCCAGGGAGGATCTGAGTCCCTCTTATGCATTCTCAGTATACTGTATATTTTCTAACTAGAGTCAAAGTTCCTAAAGGGCTCAGTTACATCTTCTTTGCTCACCTCTGTGCACACAAGACTATAAACCAGAGCCAGGCACGGTGGCACAGGCCTGCAATTCCTGAACCCTAGCAGGCTCTGGCAGGAGGTCACACATTCAAGCCCAGCTTGGGTAACTTAGGGAGACCTTGTCCCAAATAAAAAATAAAAAAGGGCTAAGGATGTAGCTCAGTGAAAAGGCCCTGCCTTCAATCTCCAGTACCGCCAAAAAGAAAAAAAAGAAAGAATGTGACCCAGTGTATTGTACCCATGCTATGACTGTGGAGATGCCTGTGTCACATGCAGGGAGACTTGCCCACTTTCACGCACACCTGTTGAGAGGACAGAGTGTCTCAGGACAGGGCAGCCCAGTCTTGCTGTTGGCGGCTCCTGTTCTGGGCAGTGTAGGATAGCGTGCATCTTTCTGAAGGTCACTGCTCAGGTGACAACCAGAAAAGCCCCCACAAATTTCCAAAGTCCCCTGGCAGGGGGTGAAAACTCCTCTGCTCAACAACTGGCACTAAGAGCTCCAACTGCATTGGCTGCATCCGGACACGCGGGCCTGTGGGGCGTGTGGAGCGGGCAGGAGCTGGGGGCGAGCGTGGGGACCATTCCTTCCTCCCCTCGTTCCCCACACAGGCAGGACAAAGGGGACCTCACCTCCGAGAAGCGTCTATGAGGAATCTGCGGGAGGTTTAGAGGTTTCTAGACCAGCATCAGGGCGCAGTGGCCACGGAGTAAATGCGGCCATTGGCTATGGTGAGCATCCGGTCCAGGTGCCTGGAGTGGGTAGTGCTGCTGGACAAGCCGCTGACTCTCCGTGTGTAAGTCACGCTGCCGCCGAGCCCCCGCCCATCTGCCCCTTTATTTGGCTCCTGACTGTATATCATGAAAATACAGGGGCTTTAGGAAAGTCTGGAATAAAATAGGAAGGACATGCCTGCCTAATTTGATGTCCTTTTGAATCTCAGATCCACCACACTGGTCAGGTTAGTCCACATTTCTGACCCT